TTCTCTACTGTAGGTGTTACCTTGGGCAGTGAAGATTCTGTAGTAATGGTATTTAGATTAATGCTTTCTCTACTGTAGGTGTTACCTTGGACAGTGAAGATCCTGTGGTATTGGTATTTAGATTAATGCTTTCTCTACTGTAGGTGTTACCTTGGGCAGTGAAGATCCCATAATATTGGTATTTAGATTAATGCTTTCTCTACTGTAGGTGTTACCTTGGTCAGTGAAGATCCTGTAATATTGGTATTTAGATTAATGCTTTCTCTACTGTAGGTGTTACCTTGGTCAGTGAAGATCCTGTATTAATGGTATTTAGATTAATACTTTCTCTACTGTAGGGGTTACCTTGGGCAGTGAAGGTCCTGTATTAATGGTATTTAGATTAATGCTTTCTCTACTGTAGGTGTTACCTTGGTCAGTGAAGGTCCTGTATTAATGGTATTTAGATTAATGTTTTCTCTACTGTAGGTGTTACCTCGGTCAGTGAAGATCCTGTATTAATGGTATTTAGATTAATACTTTCTTTATTGTCGGTGTTACCTTGGTCAGTGAAGGTCCTATATTAATGGTATTTAGATTAATACTTTCTTTATTGTCGGTGTTAACTTGGGCCGTAAAGATCCTGTGGTATTGTTATTTAGATTAATTCCCGTGCCATTAGTATTTAGATTAATTCTTTCTCTGCATGGCCTTGTGGTTAGGGTGATCGATTCTCAATCAGCAAGATGTGGGTTTGAATCCCATCAATGAACATGCTCACCATTTCACCTTTGGGACTTTTCTAAAGTGATGGTCAATTCCACTATCAGTTAGTTAAAAAGTAGTACAAAATCTGTCAGTGGGTGGTTTTGACTAGCTGCTAGTCTATCAGTATGGATATATTTGAGTCATTAATTTTCAAAGTTGTTAATTCTCTCATTCATTGACTAAGTTTACTTTTGATTTTTCATGTCATTTTTTTTATTTCAACATGAGGTTTCATGCTCGAAATTTTGCATGGAGACTGAAACATTGTCTGTAAAGAAGAAAATTGGTAGGAGAAATCCATAGAAAACACTGTCCAGATTTGAGCACATTGCCTAAATTGATATTAAATTTATTCATACAGAAAATTCATTTTCAAAGGAGCTTACACATGAAATCTGATGAAGTACTCTGCAGCTTTACATAATATGACACTTCCGTCAGTGTTAGTAGAGTAGCTTGGAATGTGGCATACTCTGCAGCTGTACATAATATGACACTTCCGTCAATGTTAGTAGAGTATCTTGGAATGTGGCATACTGTGCAGCTGTTCATAATATGACACTTCCATCAGTGTTAGTAGAGTAGCTTGGAATGTGGCATACTCTGCAGCTGTACATAATATGACACTTCCATCAGTGTTAGTAGAGTATCTTGGAATGTGGCATACTGTGCAGCTGTACATAATATGACACTTCCATCAGTGTTAGTAGAGTATCTTGGAATGTGGCATACTCTGCAGCTGTACATAATATGACACTTCTGTCAATGTTAGTAGAGTAGCTTGGAATGTGGCATACTGTGCAGCTGTATATAATATGACACTACCATCAGTGTTAGTAGCGTATCTTGGAATGTGGCATACTGTGCAGCTGTACATAATATGACACTTCCATCAGTGTTAGTAGAGTATCTTGGAATGTGGCATACTGTGCAGCTGTACATAATATGACACTTCCATCAGTGTTAGTAGAGTATCTTTGAATGTGGCATACTGTGCAGCTGTACGTAATATGACACTTCCATCAATGTTAGTAGAGTAGCTTGGAATGTGGCATACTGTGCACCTGTACATAATATGACACTTACGTCATTGTTAGTAGAGTAGCTTGGAATGTGGCATACTCTGCAGCTGTACATATAATGACACTTCCTTCAATGTTAGCAGAGTATCTTGGAATCAAAAGATAATCACCTTTGTTTAATTTTCTTCTTTGTAGATACATAGTCAGTATGTGTGGTGATGGAGCCAATGACTGTGGGGTGAGTTGTTAACTATTTTAATTGTAAGAATGTGTTATAAGCTGATTCAGCTATTGATGTTAACTATTATTGTGGTAACAGTATGGAGTGACCTTTGTTGTTATAAGAATACAAGTTGATTTAACTATCAATATTGTTATTACAACAATAATAGTGACTGTTGTTTTGATAATATAGATTGTTGCTATTTTAAAGCAAGTTAACTATTATTATTGCAAGAATGTAAGTTGATCTGTTAACACTGCTGTTATAAAAGAATAAGATTAGCTATTGTCCTTAAAGCACTATAGAGTGTTTTAACTTATTACAACTGCCAGAATATAAGGTAATTTAACTTGTTGCTGTGAAGATACAAAGTAAGTTTTTTTTTGCTTCCAAAAATATATGTTTGAATGTTTAGTACATTGATTTCAATAACGTATTTAGTTGTGATGAGTTATATATCTATCTTAATAGTTCAATATATTAAATTTGCAAAATTTGTTAGAATGATTTTTTTACTGGGTGGCGTTTGTATTTATATTATTATGCGTTCGTTGCTGTACTTATTCATGCATGGGGAAGCCAGATTTGAACTAACCTTCCTGTATTACTCTTAATGGTGCCTTTATAATTTGGTAGAGATCAATAGAATAGTATAGGAAACATGTAGAAGCTCTTAAGTATGAAACATAGTGGAAACCATGTAACAGAATTTTGAATTCCCCGCTGTCAATCTCTGGGGGACCTTAAGGGCACGTACCAAGTACACTAACTGTGCAACTCACCACAGAGCTGCCAAAGGGTACATGCCAAATTTTGTTGTGATTGGTCAAAATCTATAGGAATATCAGACAGGCACATAGAAAGAGAGTGATTCTCAGGGAGGAATTGGGTGTCAACACCAAATACTGACTCCTCTATGTGATACTCCCTTGGGTGTCAAACCAAATACTGACTCCTCTCTGTGACACTCCCTTGGGTGTCTAAACCAAATACTGACTCCTCTCTATGACACTCCCTTGGGTGTCTAAACCAAATACTGACTCCTCTCTGTGACACTCCCTTGGGTGTCTAAACCAAATACTGACTCCTCTATATGATACTCCTTGGGTGTCAAACCAATACTGACTCCTCTCTGTGACACTCCCTTGGGTGTCTAAACCAAATACTGACTCCTCTATATGATACTCCTTTGGGTGTCAAAACCAAATGCTGACTCCTCTCTGTGACACTATCTTGGGTGTCAAAACCAAATACTGACTCCTCTCTGTGATACTCCCTTGGGTGTCAAAACCAAATACTGACTCCTCTCTGTGACACTCCCTTGGGTGTCAAAACCAAATGCCAACTTCTCTCTGTGACACTATCTTGGTGTGTTAAAATCAAATACTGACTCCTCTCTGTGACACTCTCTTGGTGCCCTAAGGGCCAATTTTGGATGACATTGGTTAAAAAGTATAAGTGTGAGAAGCAGATGCAGAGATAACATTTCTGCTTTATATATAGAGTTAATTTAATTGATGGTTGAATGGTTTTGTTATTAATTTTGAATAAGTCAATTAATGAGTTTGTAGAGATTTTATTGTGAATTTAAAATAAATAATTGTTGAATTACTTTCTTTAAATTTGAATGTTAACCGTATAAAGTTATGTTTTTTTTCATATGTGCAATGACTGTATTTAACATGTGTATGATTCATTTATTTATAAACAGTGTGATGTGTGACATCTGAAATTTCGTCTATATTTAATATGTAACATTCATTTGTGTGTTATAACAATTCTAACCCTGTGAAACTAAATAATATTAAATATGTACTCATAGGCCCTGAAAACTGCTGATGTTGGAATCTCATTGTCTGAGGCAGAAGCATCAGTGGCTGCCCCTTTCACTTCCAAAATTTCGAACATAGAGTGTGTGCCAATTATTATCAGGTAAATTTTGTAATGGAGAACTGAATTCAAGACAGTTGGTGATAAATTTGACCAATAAATAGATAGCGCACAAATCCACTTGTTTTAAAATAATATATTCAAAACAAGTCAAATGTATGTACAAAAATTTGTTACACTGTTGATTATCACAGTTGAATACAGAACTTTAAGTAATTTTCTTTTACATCAACAGTCCACACAGGCTGGTTCAGTTACTTTAGAACATGATTTGAGAAGACGAATTATTCTTCTCTACTCTGTTATTACAATACAATTTGTCTTACTTTCACTGACTTAACTTCTTTCTATACCTGCATATATTTATAACACGTGACAGTAAAATTCAGAAATATCTATTCCTCTAGTGACAACAATATTCATATAATGATAAAAACTTAGAAGTTTTAAGTAAGATGATGTCAACAATATTAAAAAAGCCTATTACAGCAATTAAACTATATTAACAAAGTATGACAGGGTTATGTATTGAAACTTGTCATAACTATTGCTTTTAAAATAATTAACTTTTAGCAGTTGTTATGAAACTAAGCAATCATTAAATATTAAATCACTAAATAATAACTCTTAATCTGATCAGTCCGAGAATCCAAGATTTTTATAGTAACTCTTAAGCTGATCAGTCCGAGGATCCGAGATTTTTATAGTAACTCTTAAGCTGATCAGTCCGAGGATCCAAGATTTTTATAGTAACTCTTAAGCTGATCAGTCCGAGGATCCGAGATTTTTATAGTAACTCTTAAGCTGATCAGTCCGAGGATCCGAGATTTTTATAGTTCATACTTCCATTTAATTCATGGCATTAATTAAACCTTGCGTTGGGAGAAATTGATATGAGAAAAGAAACTATTTACATAATGTTTTATATAGGTTCATCACTATATAGGTTTGGTTTATTGTTTCCTTTGTGGAAATAAACAAACATTTGTACTAAGCAAACTTTCTGTATGAAATAAACAGTGATGTAAATCATCGTGTTATCGATAACATGCTCGACTCTGTTGGCATGAAAGAAATACTTTAGTTCTACAATTTAGAAACTAACATTAGGAAATCTGTTTGTAGTACTTTAGACATATTAAACTGTGAAGAAAACAACCATGATCTCCAGAAAATAAGCCAATGTGTTTACTTTAAACTAAGTGCCTAACAGCTCATAATAAAATAAGACAATGTGTTTGGTTTTAAGGTAAGTGCCAAACAGCTCATAATAAAATAAGCCAATGTGTTTAGTTTTAAGGTAAGTGCCAAACAGCTCATAATGAAATAAGACAATGTGTTTGCTTTTAATGTAAGTGCCAAACAGCTCATAATAAAATAAGCCAATGTGTTTAGTTTTAATGTAAGTGCCAAATGGCTCATAATAAAATAAGCCAATTTTATTACATACCTTAAACTTGAAACTGATGAACTTTGAAGAGGAGTACCCTGTTTTCATGGTATTACAGAATTCTAAACCTACTGTGGTTATTATCACATTTTTCAAGTCTAAAACAAAGCTATATAATGTGTCCCTTATACATGCCTGTGGCAGTGAAATTTAAATAACTGTGTATTTGACTAGTTTTTTAGTGTGAAATTCAGTTTTCATGTCGATTTTGTATATTTGCAGAGAGGGACGTTGTGCCTTAGTGACCTCATTTTCCATGTTTAAATTCATTGCTCTCTATAGCCTCATTCAGTTTATCTCAGTGCTCATCGTGTACAGTGTAAGTTGACATTAATTATTATTGTTGCAGTAAAATCAGAATTGTGTTATTTCCGAGATGATAACACGCCTCTTCACACAGAAATGCTCTTTCCCTCTTGCATTTGCCTATGAGATTTAGATGCCACTAGCCTTGAACTATCCCCCCTAAATTCACGTGTTTAATGTGAACTTTGCTGGTATATGATGGTGTCATCATGTGACACTAGTCCTCCACCAATAGGAGAGCAACACAGCATCCATGCACAGTAACTCCTCCTATGCACTTGAACTCATGTTAAGTGATGGTAACTTCTATATGTTTTGAGAAAGGCTCAATTTTAACTATGGTTTCTGCAAGCATGTTAACTTTTGGCGACATTACAGTCTTTGTTCAATGTATTGTGAATTACCTCATTCTTCCTAGGCCTCCTCCTCCCATCCCTTTAGGTGATGCTCTTTCTCTTCAGTCGTGAGTGGCTAGTTGGACAATGATTTTAACCTGCTTTGCTTTGTGTATTGCTTTACTGATCTAAGAATGTCCTCAACTTTTCAAACTTTTTCTGGATATGCTTACTCAGGTATATAAACCTGTGTCGTTTTATATTTCCTATTCTTTACGTCTTGAAGCCAATTATCAGGTTTGCTTTCTCCTTTCTCTGATATTAGGGTTTATACTGTTTCCTTTCTCGATCAGCTCTACCCTTACACCCTCATGCTTCGCCCCTTTATGTGTGTGACTCTTCTGTTTAGACTTACAACCATTCTTCCTTTCTTTTTCTCTATTCTCTGTCTTTGGAATCTATTTTGCCTACTTGGGAAACATACCCCTTGATTTCCGTTTCGCTATTTAGTTCCCCATTTTTGTGTCTTTGTCCTTTTCTCACCATCCTCCTATGTTACCTCTCCTCTCTCAACCTTTTGATAGAGACACTTCATCACATTCCAGTGAGGTTCTCTGATGAGGTTTATTTCCTTCTCCTTCATCTGTTCCTCTTCTTTTACTCTGTCCCTTCTTACTTAGTTTCTCTACTGTTGGGACTATCTGGGTTTAGGTGTGCTCCTCATTAATATACACCTTCCTCCTCTTTGTGTATGCATTTTCGTCAGACTTCCTTTCTTCGATAGTTTTCATGTTTCACTGAAGACCCAGGCTGAAATTGCATGACTTCAGTCCTCATTATCTTCCCTCATTTTTTATCTTTCTCAATCTTGCCCTTCGACTCCTTTTCCACATCTGGTTCAGTTTACCACTATCCTTCTCAATCTGGCTTCCTCTCTTTCCTCGTCCTCCTGCTACCCAATAATGGTTCATCATTCTTCTTATCAGTGATTATCATGTTAATTTGGGCCCACTGAGTATCTGTCTAGCTAATATCAATTGGCCATTGAATGGGATTTTTATGTTCTCTCCCATTTCCTTTACTTCTCTGTCTGACCCCATCTATCTTCAACATATCAAGGATGCAGTATCGAATCTTTTGGCAAACACATCATTGAGAGGGTATAAGCTCCTTCTCCAGGTTTTTCCTCTAATTTTTCTGTGTTCCCCAAGAAGGTTGAGAATTAGTGTCCAGTGATTGACCTGCCATTTTGCAACTGATTTCTGGTCGTTCCATCATTCTGGTTGGATAATTTCTTTTTATTTCCTGTGGTCAATTTTCATTCA